ATTGCCGGGCTGCTCTGGCACCTCGGCCTCCTCTGCCTCTGAATCTGTTTCGTCCTCTCCATCTTCAAGTCCTTCCTCGGCCTCCGCTTGCAGAGCGCTGAATACGTCGTTCGCGTAAGGCACAAGGTAGACCGGTAGCGAAGCTGGAGGAGGGTTGGCAAATACGTCGGTGTCGGAGCCTTGGCCGAGGTGTTTGCAGGCAGACTTCCAGCCTGCTTTGAAGTAGATGTCTTGCGTTGCAAAGACCTGCTTCTTGTAGCTCTCCTCGGCCTCGTTGAAGCCAGCGGTGTTTGCAGCCCGGCATGCTTTCTTCTTCGATTTCTTCAGAATGTCCACCTCGGCTTGGAGCTCATCTCGTTTTTTCTCGGCCGCATCCAGCTGGCCGAGCAGTCTGTTATTGTCGGAGTTGGCCATTTCAAGCGAAGACTTAGCCCGGCCGAGCTCGGCTTGAAGGCTTTCAACCTGGCTGGCTGTGTCGTTGGCTTTTTGCCTAAGCCGGTGGATGCGCTCCAAAACCAAGTGTTGTTTTTGAATGGCCTGCACAAAGAAGCAAAGTTGATCAGAAAGGGGACCGAGCAGAAAGGGAACCGAGCAAACACTTGTGAAATTTTTAAAAGGAACATCAACTTACCCTGGCCATAGACTTCACTGACGACTTGACCAACCGAGTGTCGGGGACGTGGTCGCTGCCGACCACGTCGCTCGGTAGTAGCAGAGCTTTTGACAGATCAAAGGCGAGCAGATGCTCTTTGTCACCCTTGATCGAAGCCGTCGCCGGGATGTCTTGGCCCCGGTGCTTCAAATGTGGGCGCCAGGCCGGCACTGGGGCGGGGGCGTCTGTTGGATGCTCGGTGGTAAGCTCGGTGACAAGCTCGGCGGACGGGTCTGCCCGAGCTCTTTTTCCGGCACGTCGTGCAGAGGGTTCTCGGCTGGATTGCCCGGCGGATTGGGAGGCAAGGGCGACCACAGCGCTGCTGGATTGACCAGCAGCTGGCGACCGGGTTACAACGCTCGGCAGCTCGGCGGATGTGGCGGTGAGAAGATTCTTGATTCTGCTGCGTTTGGCCATCTCTTGTTCCTCGGTTAGGCGAATGAGTGGAACGTCTGGAAGGGTAGGATCTGGAGGTGGCGAAGGAGCTCGGAGGAAGTCAGTTACTCTACTCCGGCGCGGAGCAGAATACCTGTATGTCGGTGTGTAGCCAAGTAATTCGTTGCAATCTCGGCGGGGATACCGAAGCACGGCCCGAATTGCTTCAACGTTGGGAAATCGATAGTTGGCTTGCAAGGCTTGGATTGCTGCAAAGGAAACAAGAAACCAGTTAGTTACAAGGTAAAACGTTAAGCTAAACCGAGCAAGTTTGAATGACTTACAGGAAGAACCGAAGTCCTTGTTAATGAACCAGCCCGGCACCTCGGCTGTTTCGTAATTGCCCGACACCCAGAAAAAATCATCGTCGTGAAGATCTTTATCCGGAGTGCCGGTCACAATTTTTTCCTTGCCCGGTCTAATCTTCAAGTAATATGCTAGTCCGTCACCGGTGTGGCCCATTGTGTATTGCCTTAATATCTCGGCTAGACCTAAGTGGGTGCCTAGCCGATTGTTCAGTTCATGTACGCCGTTGATTATTCTATAGGTATTGGTTGACACTTGTGTGGGTGCCAGCCCGGTGCGACGAAGGAACTCGGTTATAAGAGGATTGAGCGGGAAACGGAGACCCCCTTCGACAATTGAGAGCACGGTGAAGGGGCATTGATCAAGTCTGCCCCAGGGTGTGGTCTCTTCTTCTGCCAGTTCGAGATGAACATCGGCCGGGATGCCGTAGTCCTCTCTGAAAGCAGCTAGTGCGACCGGAGTATCCACTAGAAAGCGGAATTTCCCCATTGGCGGCCGGCCTAGTGTATCCCGGCTGAGAGGTTTGGCACTGGTTATTGAAAGCTTCTCGGTCCTGAGAGCCTCAGGAATGACAGTGGTCCCCTTGGACTCTGCAGGAAAAGGATGGTAAGTGTTAGGTTTGGGCGCGGTCGCGCAAAAGGAGCTGGATTTTAGCTCGGTCATTAAGAGTGCCAAACCACCTCGGTTGTCTACTCTATCTAAGGAGCCCGGTCGCCCAAGCAGACCAAATGTTAGCCCGGTTGAGCGACAAAGTCCTTTTGGTATCTCGGTTTGTGCCAGGGTTGCGACAAACATGTTGTTTGCCCGGTTTGATTGGTTTTTTGGATCAAAATAAGACCGAGAGCCCGGTTCGCCCCAGATCTTCAGTGTTCTTCAGGAAGACGAAGAACACCAAGAACAGTAGGAGGTTGGAAACATTTTCTATGGCCTATGCCCTAAGGACTACGT